GTTTCACCCAGGGTGTAGGCTCAGGCGTGACAAATTCTTAGGCTCCAATGTTCCTTTGTCGGCAGTTCATCCTCACATATAGCTGAAAGATAAGTCAAAAACCTGAGGGAGAAAACAACGGACCGATTGAGATAGAGTAAGATGACACTCAAGGAATTAACCAAAAACGTGTAACTCCATTCCATTCAACTTAATAGTATCAATTGCTACTATATTTAGATATATTCACAATCAAACTACTGAAACCATATTCTTAGAGTTGCCAACATGGTTTCAAAAGCTTAACAGGGAATATTTGTTATATAGGTAGCTGAACAAACTTGATAGATGTCTGAGGATGAAGATTGAGTCATATACAGAACTTAAGCATAACAAACTTGGTGTTTTTCAATGTAATATTTTAACTTTTGAATAAAGGTAATTAACTTGAGCAGTAACATTCTAAAAGTGGAAGGCAAAGGTAGTTAACGTGAGCATAACATTCTAAAAGTGAAAGGCGGACTAAAGAGCACATCCTAAAAAAGAAAATGAATTCTGAATTTGATACACAAAATAAAGGGATACAAACTAATAGAACACATCTAATATGTGGTGCTTACAGGGAAAAAAAAACGTGATATAGAAAGCAAAATGACCTATTTTGAATAGCATTGCATCTGAAATACCAAAGATATATAACGAGTTTACCTTTCCTTCCCATTCAAAATCAACAAATTTGCAAATGGGATCCAATAGTGTGACCTGATCTCCTTGTTTAATCTGTCAAGAAGAGTAGTTTGTTAAGTAATGATGTGAAAATCCAGTTCCTGTATTTTTCACTTTGTTTCTTTTTGTCCTTGCAGTATCAACTTTTCATAGACCATGTGTTTCCTAAAAGAAGCTTCGTTTATGTTATGTTCATTTTCTTATTCCTTTTCAATAGGAATATGGTAGGCTATATGTTACCACAAAAATCTGAAGTAGGATAATTCCCTCAGCTCATTACATGTTACTTACATGAAAACTAAAAGATTAGATACCTTGACCGATCAAAACTGCACGCTGTTCGCCAACTGTAGCTTCTAACAGTGAGTTCAAATCATATGATGTGTATGGTCCATTTGTTAATCTACCAGCCCTGTAATTTCAAATTGGTGAATAAGCCAAAGACGTAACTTTTCGAAATTCAAGTAACACAAAAAATATGTGATAATTAACATGTGGATTTAACTTACATACACTGATAATGAAATCGACAGTGCCAGTGATGTAACAATCTCTGTAGAATTGATGGAGTGTGTGGGTGTAGAGAGTGTCCTGGAATGCATCTATTTTGCAACCGTTAATAACGGACTGATCTTCTCCAACACGAAGGGCCACTACTTGGTGCTTTGTGGCCCTGCTGTGTTTTGAAATTGTAGATCTTGAGCTATGAATCCATCCCCAACAGCAGCTGCATTAAAAATAAATTGGGCAACCAAAGTAAACAAGTTCATCGATCAATTTTTCCAATAACTAATATGTTCTAATTGAATATGTAATTTTGGGCTAATAGCTTCGGCAAAAAATCCCAATGACATTTAAAGAGTGCATAAATGATAGTGAGATAGAAGATTTTTTACCAACAGTTGCAAGTTGTTGCACCATCCACAACATTTAAGTTGCCAGTAATAATAGTAGCATCCATGCCATCACCCACAAGCATTAAATTCTTCAAATGTAACTCACCTGCAATGTGGAAACAAAGATAGCTTATGTAGCATGTATGTCCATCAATCAGTCAACTAACTCCAAGCTAGTTAATATGAGGAAAAGAGAACTCACAACTCAGTTGATTAATCTATTGAAACGACTTGATGATTACATTTGAAAGATAACAATTACATAGCAAGTACATATAACATCGGATTCTTGTTAGGAATGACTCATTCTGAACCTATTACAACACCAAACACACTCAACATAATAAATGTTAGTATAACATCTCTGGCAGTACAATGTTTTAATCTAAAGACCAGATCCCCACTTCATTTACGTTTCTACATTGAAAATAGTGAACAAGAATAGAATAGAAGATATTTTTGTGTTCCCTAAAGGTCTAGTACACTACCAATACAATCCTTTCAAGAGGAATGAGACAGTGAAAAACTTTAACCAGTCTCTTTCTCAAATTCAATACCAAAACCTCAAATAAATCCAAAATAATTGTAGAAACCTCAAACTAATAGAATCCAAACACGGAGAAGAAAAATTCACACGCAATGGATATATCATAAAGTTTTTCCATATACATATGGCGTCACCAATTAACGTTCAAGTGAGAATAGGTCTCAAATTGCGAGTAGAAGTTATTTTCATAGTAATACATAACCACAAAGGTCAATTTTAACCAGAAAGTTTGTTACCGCAGTTCAAATTTGACAATTTCGAATGTTCATCCATGAAAAGTGTACAACATAATTAACCAAATTTGTCCATGCATCTATACAAACAACAAAAAGAGGACCTTATATAGTGAATACAACTGCTAATTTGTCCAAAACTTTCCGATCCGAGATTCAATCTGTGAAGATTGAGATGAAGAAATCTAGAAACGTGAGAGGAGTGGAAAAAATACCTTAAAACTGTAAGTTTGAAATTCCTAAACTGAATTCGCAATTCTGAATCTGATGAGGTAGTTGAAGAAGTGGCAAAGTGGCGGAGCCGCGGAGGACGACGGCTGTGTAGCGGAGAGAGAATTGAGAAGTGAGAAAAAGTGTATACTATTTTGTATAAAAATATAGATGCCACATTTTATATTTTGGAATAAAAAAAGTATTTTCAGATTTGGGGGTTTAAAACTCCCGCTATTTACTTAGATTTTTCTTTTCCTAGATGACGGAAGTTTGAAACCCCCGTTATTTACTTTTATTTTCTGTCAGTTGTGAAACCACCATTATTTAATGTAATTTGTGGGGGTTGCAACTAACCTCTACTATTAAACCCCTCCAATTTAAGTGTTTTTTTTTTTAGTGTTGCTCCTTTTCTGCTTATATGAAACGGCTTTAGTTCCAGAGGTAGATGTCAAATGAGCACTTTCAATCCTCTCTTGTTTGAGTCTATCCACCTCTTGCACACATTGAGCTATAAGTTCATTTCTCCTTTTGAGTATTATATGAAACTTTAAATTAACTAAATTGTGCAGGATGGTAATGAAAACATAATGGAGTACCTTATGGAGAGGTCTAATCTTGTGACAAAACTCAGGGCCTTTAAGCTTGAGTTGTCTAATGACATACTTGTACACCTAGTTTCGATCTCTCTTCCTGCATAAATTAGACAATTTAATGTTTCATAGCGGTTGATTGAGGCATTGAGCTAGAGTCATGTATCTACTGGGTAATCGATGGAATTATGAGTATATAAAAATACTTTATTGTATGTTCACTTGAGTGCGAAATCGATATACGTCGTAATTCAACTATGTATATATTTATTGAGAAACAAGGTTCTCTTCTCTCTTTTTCTCCCAAACTATTAGTATTGATGAAAGTAGATATAGATATGAAGATTATGTAATAATGTTGAATAATTTCAGTTTAGGGTGAAATTCTTTGTAATACTATACTAAAACTACAGGTGTTCGAAAAAAAAATTACAGGCTAAGGATTTAGATAATTAAGCAGTCACTATTTGTGATTAACAAGCTTTAGCTGTGGCAGAACAATTTTGAAAAATTTGGTAAATAAGTGAATTATTGTGTTTGATAATTCTACAGCTATGTCACATACATATTATATCATTGTAATTTGGAACTTAGGTAGGCTCATTCCACTCCAGGATTATAATATATAAGCATGACAAATTGTTAATCATATTTGTGTGTTATCAGAGACGGTTTCAAAAAGGGCATACATGATATACCCACCCAGTAGAGGAATGAGAATAAGAATCTCAGGGGTGCACAAATAGAATCAAAAAGAGTTGAAAAATATTTTGTATTTCTATACTTTATAAACTATCCACTATTTATATATAAAAGATACATAAATACAAACATGTTCTAGCATAATATCATAATATCTTGCACATATCAATGGTGTGATATATTCTGCATAGTTAAAAGTAGACTATTATCCTGAATCTTTTAGAATCATATCTGATATATATGGTCAACATTAAGCTAGGTCTCATTTATTTTTATTAAGACTGAGACGGTTAGATTGTTAAATATGTAAACCTAGGTAGGTTATCAGATAGTGAGGCCGACTATCAGTGTACGCACAGGACTAAACTAAGATGATAAACAAATTCTGATCAATAATAAATTAATAATCAACTTATTTATTTGATTATGTTACTGAAAATATACGAAAGAAAATAAATTGCACGTTGAATTTCAGTTCCACTAGCATTACATATGTCAAAGTTAATTCCTCTCGAATTTTTAATTTTTCTATAAAAATCACTAAAAAAAAATTGTTACTTATGTTGAGGTTAGCCTTATCGAGAGAAAACTGTAGTCAATATTAATGGACAACCTGACGTGCATACCATTTAGTTTAATTATAAATTTAACATGTGAGGCTTATCATTTTTTAAGAATTAAGAATTCACTATAAAAAATAAACTGAATATCTTAAATTATAGGAGAAACTTATATAACGAAATCAAATTGGAAGACTCTTAGATGATCCCCTTTTAAATTAATAAGCACAAGTTGTTTAACTTTATTAGAGAATTACATAAAACAATATTAACCTAGTTAGATACAATATAAATTAACACAAGTTGTTTAAGTTTATTAGAGAATTACATAAAACAATATTAACATAGATACAACATAAATTAATACAAGTTGTTTAAGTTTATTGGAGAATTACATAAAACAATATTAACATAGATACAATATAAATTAACACAAGTTCTTTAAGCTTTATTTGCATGAATGCTCTTATTTTGAGAGAGGTAGTTTTTAATTTTTGTTTTAAAACACTACTAAAAAAACATTTTGCGCCATAAGTTATCAAAATCAAGGACTCATGGCTGAGGTTGGAAATGTAGCTTGCACTAAAAGAAGATGGAACATACCAATCTTTGTTTTCTTTGAAGACATTAGGTACATTTTTTCAAATTTATATTGTTGTCAATTTTGCTCAGTTTAATCACTTATGTAATTTGTTTTTCTTGTTGTGTTCAGAAATGTCTTCAAATTCGATGATCTTGGAATGGAAATCCTACGTATCGCGTTCCCTGCAGCTCTTGCATTAGCTGCTGATCCTATTGCTTCTCTCATTGATACAGCATTCATCGGTCATTTAGGTACATACGTTTGGGGGTAAAGTTCAGATAGTCAATCAAATAAGATTCAGTTGTACTTAACGGTTTCTTAATCAAAATTCACCTAAATGTGAACAAGGGACTTTTGTATTCAAAAGCTTTACTTGACAAAAGACGTGATAATTTAGTCATGAAAATAGAACGGATACAATTTTCATATATTTATCTATACTGCTATCTTTGTCCATTTTTAATTGTCATAATTTTCTTTTTTAGAGTCAAATTATAAAAACTTTGCCTAACATTTTACAATGTATTTTTTCATGTTGATATGCAAAAAAATTGCAATTTATAGTACTTTTTGTATAGTTTTTGAATATCTAATTTTTTGTTAAAAATATCGAATTAATGTAATCTAATTTAACTTTGAAAATTAATCAAATTGACTTTGAAAAAAGCGCAACATGACAAATAAAAGTCGACGGAGGGAGTACCTTAAAAGCATGAATTCTCTAACTTAAATGTTAAATTACTATAATACCCTCAACTTAAAACACCCAAATTTTTTTTCCAAAGGGCTGTCACTTTTACTTTTCCAAAGAGTTATGATTTTTCCAATGAGTTATGACATTTTCAAAGGGTTATGACTTTTCTAAAGGATTGTGACTTTTCTTATAAACATTTTTCCGTACTAGCCTTTGTTGGCTATAAAAAGAGGGGTCTCCTCACACTTTTAAACTACAAGTTTTTTAAGTTTTCTATTGTTCTTCTTCTTCTTAAAACACCTAATTTAGTATATCTTCTATATTTTATATTATATTATATTTATTTATAATATTTTATTTTAAAAGCACACACTTTTTCGCATTGAATGGTTACGACTTTTCTAAAGAGAAATGTGACCTTTTTGAAAAATTGTGACTTTTATGATTAAACACAATAAGCACATGTTCATACTACCCTTTGTTAATTATAAATGGAGGGGTTTCCTCACATTTCTAAACTACGAGTTTTTTAAGTTTTCTATTCTTCTCTTCTAAAAAAAACTCCAAGTGTGATTTACAAATGTTGAGAATCTCAAAGTTCAGTGGAATTTTAACACTCTATAACTTAAATGTTAAATTAATATAATACTCCAACTAAAAACATCCAATGTAGTATATCTTCTATATTATATATCAATATTTATCTATTTATGTTATAATAAATGCAGAAACTCCAACAATACAATAATAACTAAGTAATGCACTATAGGAGAGGGAGGAGCAACTAAGAGATATTAAGAGTGACGTCTTTATTTTTATATATCACAATTAATTTTAAAATGAGAAATAGGTCCAAAAAAAAAAGATAAATCTAATTGGAGGCCATATAGAGAGGTGTCACATTACCTTATATATATCTAGCTTAATATTATAAATAGTTATAGGTGTTTTCGGATTTTGATTTGACAATTTCAATAGTAATCATAACAAAGTTCACATCCACTATAAATAGGAACTTATATTTTATTATTCAATTTATAATTGTTTGCTTAAAGTTTTGTTTTAATGATGTTGACATTATTTTTTAACAATAATATAGTACATGATTTAATAATCTCGTGCAAGGCACGTGTCTCAAAACTAGTTATCAGTAAGGACAGGACAGTTACTTTTTTTTGTTTGTTAGGCCATAAATTTTCCAAGTAAAATTTGGAGGGAAATTCGGCAAATAGTGTTTGTCTATATAATTTGTTATTATTTGGCAAATATTTTTGGCAAACAACCAAAATTCCCAAATACTAGTTTTTTCTAGTATTTGGGACAAATCTCATTATTTGGAAACTTTTAAAAATTCAAATTCTACACCAAACTTTTATCTTTTACAAAAGATACTCTTTATAGTAGTTGTTTGTGTCGTATTACATTTTTTTTTATGTGAAAACCAAAGCAGTGATGAAATATGAAAGTGATGATATAGTTGTTGATGAAAATGACGAATAATCGACTTAGGGTAATAAAGTCATGTGTTTCATCTACTTCACGATGTATGTAATGATGCTTGTTGCACTCACTCTGAACTACCACATTGATCCAATGTCATGGACACTACTTGTTATTTGATGCAACGGAGATCCAATTGCTTGTTGCGGAAGTCAAGAATCTTGCTATGTAATACAAACATATGGTTAATTTTGATAGTTTTTAAAACTTATGGTTATAAATCATATTTATTAAAAAAGTGAAATATATTTCACAAATATTATGGCCAAACACATGGTGAAATTCTCACCCAAATAATATTTGCCAAAAAAATTTGGAAATCTATGGTCAAACGCTAGCTAATATTCTCATTTGTTTAGCGAATTTCATAATTACTTGACTATTTTGCCCTTACAAAAAAAAAATCTCAAACGTTGGCTCTTCATGACTGCAGGGGCAAATGAAATTGCAGCAGTAGGAGTTTCAATTGCCATATTCAATCAAGCCTCTAAAGTCACAATTTTCCCTTTAGTGAACATAACTACTTCATTTGTTGCTGAAGAAGAGACTGTTAGAAGAATTAGTGAAAAAGAAGCAATAGGTGATTTAGAGAAGGGTAAGGAGGAGAAGAATGATACAAAAGTAGAGCTAGTACTAACTGATGATACTGACAATGACAAGAAGGAAACCAAAGAGATCGCATTAGCACCAGGTTATATATAGTATCTTTTATACACTGACATTCAATTTTTCATGATAAATTAACAGAATAATGTTACGTTTACAGAATCTAAGACGACAAAATGTGAGTCCTTGGATAATAAAAGTAAAGGAAAACTCAAACGTGTGAAGCGACATATTCCATCAGCTTCAACTGCAATTCTCATGGGATGCATTCTTGGCCTTCTCCAGACGATTTTCCTCATATTTCTCGCGAAACCAATTTTAAGCTTAATGGGTGTGAAATCTGTAAGTATGAATGTTCAATCATCATTAGTACATTACATTAGAACATACAAGGTGTACGTATGTCCAAATGTCATATTAAATTATGTGACCATCTCATCTGAAAGATTAAGAGTAACATGGTTTTATTTAACAAAATCATACAGGATTCTCCTATGCTTTCTCCAGCAAAGAAGTATTTGACCTTGAGGGCAATTGGTGCCCCTGCAGTCCTTCTTTCTTTGGCTATGCAAGGTGTTTTTCGCGGTTTCAAGGATACAAGAACTCCGTTATACGCAATTGGTAAGTAGTATTTACTCTGCTGCTTAAAGTACATCAAAGGAAAATTAAGATAATTGATCCAACTCTGATCATAATATTTCTTCTATTGTATCAGTTGTTGGAGATTTAACAAACATAATTTTGGACCCAATCTTTATTTTTGTTCTCAATTGGGGTGTTAGTGGTGCTGCCATTGCTCATGTTCTTTCTCAGTAAGTCCTTTTTTTTAAATTAAAACTAATTTCAAGTTAAGTCACACAATTTCTAATATCACTCTGTTATGTTTCCATTAGGTACTTGATATCGATTATTCTCCTATGTAAATTGATGACAGAAGTTAATCTATTACCTCCTAGCGCAAAAGATCTGCAGTTCAGCAAATTTCTCAAGAATGGTAAGTAAATGATAGAAGGCGAAAAAAGGCATATATTATACATACATATATACTTAAGATACTGAAACGATTCATATGTACGTTAATTAAGTTGATAAACTTCGATTGCTGCAGGATTTTGGTTACTAGCAAGGGTGATAGCTGTTACATTTTGTGTGACATTGGCTGCATCATTGGCTGCACGATTAGGCACAACGCAGATGGCTGCATTTCAAGTTTGCTTACAAATCTGGCTAACATCATCTCTGCTTGCTGATGGATTAGCTGTAGCAGGACAGGTAAAATAACACACCAACTACACATTTAGGCAATAATAATGTCACTATTAAGTAGAAATGAGACTTCTAATTATCGCGGTTTTCTTCTTTTCCAGGCAATACTTGCTTCTTCTTTTGCTGAGAAAGACTTCCAAAAGGCAAAGGCTGCAGGAGTTCGAGTCCTACAGGTACTGTTCAATAAGTTTGGCTTTAGGCTACTAATTTTATGCAACACGTCAAAACAGGTGATACTGATAAAGTTTTTTGTTATGCAGATGGGATTAGTGTTGGGATTCGGACTTGCTATAGTTGTTGCAATTGGGTTATACTTCGGATCAGGAGTCTTTTCAAAGGACAAAAATGTTATCCGTTTCATAATCATTGCCATCCCGGTACAATTCAATAAACATTATTTCAGATTCTTCTAATTTTCTTTCAGTATTATTAACTTATTTTTCGATCGATCAGTTTGTTGCTGGTACACAACCAATCAATTCAGTGGCATTTGTGTTAGATGGTGTCAACTTTGGAGCAAATGATTTTGCATACTCTGCATATTCCATGGTTAGTTAGTTTAGACAACTAATTTACCTTTTGAATTTAATTACCGCTTTAATTAATGTAAACTGATTCTTATGTAGGTTTTAGTTGGTGCATTAACCATAACCTCTGAGTTTTTCCTTTACAAAACCAATGGTTACACTGGAATATGGATTGCTTTAACCATATTCATGGTCCTGCGTACATTTGCCGGTTTATGGAGGTAATTTCTCATCTCTAACATCTTAAAATAAAATTATAATAAGATACGAACTCAATTGACTCGATAATTGATTACAGGATGGGGACAGGAACAGGACCATGGCGTTTTCTGCGGATTCCATCAATGTCGGTAGAAGCCAAGTCATAGAGTTGCTAGAGCACTTGTGTCACTAAATATATTCAATCTATTATTTTCCTAGGGAGTTACTATTGTTTTTCTTGCGTATAGGGTAAAAATTCTACAGAATTTTTTTATGTGAATAATGTGATGTCATTTTTATATGATTTTGACATTTTGTAATGGAATATGGCTAATAGCTAGATACATATGAAACTTTTAAATGTTTTTGGTGTCATATATTCATGACATTATGTCCTTAAATTTTCTTTATTTGTTGTTGCTGAAAACATAATTTCCTCCTTAATTAGTTCAGCCGTGAAAATGAATCTCCAAATTAAATTGGAAATTAAGGAGTTTGGCCACGAAAATATATTATTATTTTTTTAGAGTTGAACTTAGAAAAATACGTTTGGTGGCACACTAAATTACACTTATTAATATCCGAGATAATTCATGTTATCGATCATCTCTAGTTAAAATAAGTCTGTAAACTCCATGTCTTTTTCCTTGTAATTAATCATTCATTTCTTTATGGGATTTTTACAAAATATATAGTTCAATACAATATATTACATCTACGTAGTTATTGTGTTTAAATTTTATTTTATTAGTAGAATTCATGTCTAACTTATATAAAAAAAAAAAAAAAATGTTATGTCATATTTTTTTATGATAACTTTGAAGGGGTGATTTTATAAAAGAAAACTTTAATTCAAGTGATTTTATTGAAATAAATTAAAGTTGACTTTGTTATACAATTCCTCGTAGTTCAGTGACCTTGTGAGATATTTACTCTTTATTTATATATAACATTTTGAACACTATTAGATGCAATAGAGACTTCAGTGAAACCTATGCTGCATTAATAGGAATTTCATGGCGCTATGACAAAAACATAAGGAACATTGAAATTGAAATTCTGGGCATTTCTTGTGAATTTTTTGGCTCCGCTACTAATTAACTGGATGCATCTCTGTTTATTTGTGTTTATATAGTACCTCATTATGCAGGGGAATAAACTCAAATTTATTCTAAGTTTGTCTATTGTTTTAATATTATCTTGATTGAAAAATTGATTCAGAAACGTTCGTTCTAAATCCATGCGAATAATAATTTTAACCATGATTGATCATTGTTCTCACCCTAACAAAAATTAGTCGGAGGTAAAATCTATTATGAGACTAATTAGGGTTACATAACACTTATAGGCATATGTATTTTACCCAAACTAATTAGAATTGGGAAACTCTTTCCTCAACTAAACCCGTGGAAAAATTTCCTTAATATATTTCTAATCATTTAGCAAACCATTACTACTAAATTTATGTAGTAATAGTTTTGTATATTAATTATTACATTCATTTTGTATGTTAATAATTACTACATTCATTGTATTAATAATTTTGCATATTCATTATTTCTCCCAGAGTTATAGTATTATACTTATGGTATTATTAAAATTATGAATTTAAATTTATTATTAATTATAATTTTGATAAATTCTTTTATATATATTTTTGCAAATTTGGAATTTGCACCTATCACCTTATTTATTTTGATCATGTTACTGAGAATATACTACTCAAACAAATAGCACGTTGAATTTCTGTTCCACTAGCATTTCATGTGTCAAAGTTAATTCATCAAATAGTTATCGACTTTTAAATTTTTCTATAAAAATCACTAAGAAAACGTTTTAATTTAAATTCACTTAATTTATAGATAGTTTATCGAAAAATAACTAAATTTTTAAGGATACCATTTTGTTGAGGTTATCCCTCACCGAGAGAAAACTCAATATTAATCGACAACCTGACGTGCATACCATTTGGTTTAATTAAGAATTAATAGATTAGGCTTATCAATTTTTAAAAATTAACAATAAAAAATAGACTTAATATCATAAATTAAAGGAGAAACTTATATTACGAAGTCAAATTGGAGGACTCTTAAATTATCCCTTTTGAATGAACATAAGTTATTTAAGCTTATTAGAGAATAGCATAAAAATAAGAATTCCGAATGTTACGGCTTTAGAAGTTTATAACTGAAAAAATATAGTAGTTTCAGAATGGACAAAGTTATGCTCTAACTTATTTCTACAAACTTGAACCGAACAAGATAAAAATCCTTCCAAATATTATCTTGCAAATTCACAATCATCAGACAAGATAAAACGTAGTATGTTATAATAAAATAAGATCATAATTAATTTAAGAAAGAAAAAATAGAAACCAACTACACTAGGAGAAATTCGTGCCATGTGGCATCCAAGATGACTTTAAGACGTGGCGAACCCATTTCACCTGTTTTTGTCCTTTATTTAGGACTACTATAATGTCATTCATTGCTTCTTTTAAATTATTTTTGTCCCCACATTTCATTATCAAAAATAGGGAACTCGACAAATCCAACATATATTTTTCCATTAAAGAAATCTGCCCAACTTCACCCACTATTTATCTGCAATGACAAACTCATCATTTACTATTTTAACCTACACATTCAAAGTCTTTGCCCAAATTTTCAAACTTTAAAAGAAATCTACCCTTTTGTCACCATCCATCACTATCTCAAGTTAGAACACCTATGTTTGGACAACACTCCACATTTTTTTATCCTCAAATACTAATCACCATCGAAACCTGCCCACTTCATTTACTCCACAATCTAAATAACCCTTCTTTATTGAGTGGGTGGGTGGGTAGCAAATATGGAGAGATTTATATATATAAGCACATAATCATGCAACACCTTATTAAAATGAAATACTAATGGTAAACAATACAAAATATAGTTTCATTTGAGAGTAACAAAAAGAAGTCCTTCAGGATTATGGAAAAACACAAGGATGATCTCAATAAACCTGGACTGGGTTTTCATTAATACAGCCCAGGAAACTTAAAAACTGTTGCTTGTAAACAAATAAACAATTAGAATTGAATAGAAACATTATGCAAAGTTCTCCCTGTTTTTCTCAAATTTCCTCCCCTCCATAAACAAAAAGTTGTACCATAAAACAATATATACTACCCCCAACCCTATGAATTTGATTTGTTTGGCTAAACACGAAAATGAGTTAATAGTGTCTTATCTCGCTAGGCGACAAGCTGATCAAGTTGCATCTGCTCGAGCCAAGCTCCTAAAACTGAATGATCAACTGAATCAATTTGGGAACTGTTTTTCAAACTCTTCTCACCGGATGGTGCAGCAACTGAATTAGGAGCGGCCTGCTTCTCTTTCATCTCGGTTGGAGATTCCTTCACAAGAGATTGCACCCATGATAGGTCAGGCTCTTCTCCATTATTGAGCTGCTCAAAAGAAGATGATCTGGGCAGGTGTCCAAGTCCATTTCCATTGACAGACCAGTCAACCTTCTCATTGGGAGACCCCCAGTTGGACCAAGAATTACCCACTGGGGATCCAACAATTGATACATTATTGGATCCAAGATCACGAGAGCTGAGGCTTCGCAGCTGTTGCTGTTGCTGTTGCTGTTGCTTCTCACGCTGAACAAATGCTGAAAGGCGAGCACTCATGGGAGAAATGGGCTCCATGCTTCTTGGGGACATCCTTCCAGGTGAGGAAACACCAAAAGAAGCCTGCAAAAGAGGGTGCTCAATGTTTTTCGGCGAAAAAACGTTAGTATTAATTGGTGAAAGCATGTTCTGTTGCTGTTGGAACTGATTAAAGTAAGCCGACTTGTGTGATGGGGAAAAAACACCACAAGCCGCTGCCTGATCAGAAAATCGTGGAGAAGAGTTCATCTCAGCAGAAAATAGCTCTTCAAGATTTGAAGGAGTTAGTGTCTTGGACCGACCAGATCGGTTCAAAGAGGCAGAATTAGGACGCTGCTGTGAATAGCAAGCCATGTCATTGAAAACTAGTTGTTGGGCATCAAAATCCTGCAACATGTTAAAATCCTCAGGCGGAATGTCTCGTGCACTAAGGGAAGACCTCAGACGGCTAGACTGCAGATTGCTTCCAGGTAGATGAAGAGTTGGGACATTTGGTTGAGGCCATGGTGCAGGTGAATGAGACATTCCATTGGCACTGGGGGACATTGGTTGGTTAAATGCAGAAGGAGACATCACAGAGTGCGCTGAGGGCGAACCAGGAAAAAGGTTCAGTGCTGCAGCCATGTCCATCACACTAGCTGCAGAAGCAGCTGATCTAGGAGATGGAACTGCAGATCCAGTGGAGACATACAAGGGCCTAAGCTCCTCAGTAGTATGGGCAAAAAAACAAATTCGCCTAGCACAGCTTGTACCATCCTTGCACAGACGGGTACGATACTGAGCGGGGTGTAGCCAGCACTCAAACACCCCATGAGCATATTCACACATATCACCACGCCGGCAGGCCCCCTTGCGAAATTCAGGACAAGGCACACAGCTATAGTGGTACTTCCTTGGATCTCTTCTGCGAGCATTCTCTCCAGGGTGGACAAATGGGCACTCCGTCCAGTCATGTGAATAGGCCCTAGAACATGGACGGACCTTAAAAGAGAACATGCGGAACTCATCTGTTGAATATATACTGTTCTGGATATCAGGGAGAGATGGATCTATTGGATATTCTTTTTTCTCTCGTGCAGAATTTGCAGGGATATCACTGAACTTCAATGCCATAGGGGAAGATGAGGACTCCAATGATGAAGGAGATCCATTTTCTGGTGATGGGGAGAGAATGGGAGAGGATGCATCTGAAGTAGCCACAGATACTCTCAATTTGCAGTCACCAACTGAGCCATCAGATGAATTGTTCAGAAGCAGTTCTTCTAGAGAAGCTCTAGCACCAGGAAGCTTTGGTGGAACAACGATCACATCAGCTGGCCGCTGGCCATTAGCATCCTCAACATTAGGATCAGCACCAGCTGATAGTAGCAACTTAACTGCATCAACAGCATTGACAGAACCACTGGAGGTTGCACAGTGAAGAGCAGTGCATTTGTTTGGACCACAAACACGGTTAACATCAACGACAGGGTTAGAGATAATCAACTTCAAAACATCTAAACTTCCATAAGTGGCAGCTACCATTAAAGGAGTCCTTTCCTCGTTAACAATCTGTTTTGCACCTTTTTTCCTAACCAACCATAGCCCCACCTCATCAATAGCAGAAGCATCGAGCTCAACAGATCTTTTAAAACCATCAAGATCGTTGTTTGCAGCAAGTTCAAGCAAACTAGAAAAAGAATCTTCAGTCTCAACTGTGAGTTTAGTAATACCCTTCATACTAGATGTAGAATCAGTAACAGATTGGTTGGGTCTTTCTGGGCCAGTGCACATGCTTCAGTCAACTGCAAGTCAAAAATCAAGAAATTAAAAGAAGTTTATAGCACCAAATCTAGTAAAAAATTCCAAGCACCATCTTTCTAGAATTAGATGTTTGTCATATACAGATTAATAAAATTGAATAGAAAAAATCTAATTCAAGAATACACCTGACAGACAATATCAAAAACTCAGAATCCTCCCAAAAAACACAAAAGAAAATTTATCAAACTGCCCATAAATTAAAGGGTCTGGAATCAGTGGGGAAAGCCGAGGGGGGGAGAAAATATATCTCTAAAAACAAGAAAATAGTCATATTAGGTACAACTAAACTCACCTAACCTTCTCTCAAAAACTAATAAAAATACACCATCCTTGTAAATAGATAGACAATCATGATAGAAAGGTAGAATGAAGAAGTTTATTTTGTACAGACATACACAGAGGTAATTTTCTAGTTGGCACTCCATGTCACATTAAACTTCATACTTTAAATAATAAATTTATTTGCTTAAATTCTATAAAATAAGAAGTCTCTATCAATTTATAACACAGTAAGTTATTATTATTTTTATAAAATATCAACTCACAAGGGTTAACTTACATTCTAGTCTTTGCTTTTTCACATACCTTGATTAACAACTAATTATAATCCCTGATTCAGTTTCTTTTCTGGTAATATCTCCATCTTCTTCACTTGAATAGGCACATATGTTGTAAAACATTAAAAACTGTGAATTCAATCATAAAAATAAAAAATAAAATTCCAAACTGTGTTCCCTTTTGTCATAGAGTAGCAAAAATTATTCTGCAAATATTTCATAGCCTATCAGTTTGATAATGATCAATGTAAGCTAAGGAAGAATGATCATGTCAACTCTGTTTAACCTGAAATTAAAATATATATGATCTGATCTATTGTTTTTCATTGACTCAGTTCATCAGCTGCACAAAAATTCACCTTCACACACCAAATATTAGTGATAGAGACAAAAATAAAATGACAACTATATCAAAGAGAATCGCATCTCATACCCAAATATATTCAAAAGCAGAGTCATCCCTTTTTAAAAAACAAAAAATCCCCCATAACATGAAAAAAAATCGCATCTTTACAGAACAAATCGCCACAATACATATATAGAAACACATAGATCAACATATCAGCCGATTTCAACAAGAAAATTTAAGCTATAAAACTAGAATCTACTAATATAAAATCACTGCAGATTGTATTGATAGTCAACCACAGTCAGCAAACATAACAGTGAGTATAAATAAAATTAAACTACTATTCACAAATTCGATCTCGATCATTCAACTGAAATCTTACCAGAAATCAAGCAAAAATCAACAGCTATAGTTGCTTTAGCAGATCCACAACAACAAAGCCTCGAAACAGATTTCTTCTTCAACACTCCTTCGACGTTGAGAACACACCAGCAGCAGCAGAAGAAGAGGAGAAATCGCAGAAGCTACATACACTAATCGCTTCGATAACCATAACCATCTTCATTGAAACTTCAAAATCAGGTTTTTGTAATCTATACATACATGTATACATAGAAGAAGTGAATCTCTATATATATAAACACACCATTGGAAAAATGTAGAGAGAGAAAGATGTAGAAGTAAGGAGAGTGAGAAACATGAAGTTGTGTAATAACAGGGAGAGAGAAGAAGAAGAAGAGGGGGAAATAGAAATTAAAAAATGCAAATGCAAATGCAAATGTAAATGAAATTGAAATTAAGATGAAATGATATTGAAATGAACGCTAAATTGAAGTAATATTTGAAAGTGAAGGTGTGGGGACGGGTTTGGCCGGTTGAATGTTACCGGTTGGGTGGGTAATAGTTGAGGTGTCCCGGATTTCAAATCGTAGATTAATGTCGATTTAAATAGGGGATTTGGAGTCCGCCTATAATAAAAGGAGAGAGAAGGAAGCGGACGTGAGGTCCAATGGTCAATTATGGTTAATTTTTGGGATCAAATCAAAAGAAGAATTTGTAATACAATGTATATATTTTGTGAGTAGTTTAATTGATATTCAACAAAATATAAAACTTCAATAAATGATAGAATAAATATTTAAAAATTCAGATATTTATTTTGAACTCTAAATAATTTGTTTATTTTGTAGGGTGAAAAAATTTCGAAATTTCAAAATATCAATTATAATATCGAATTGAGTATATATATATAATATAATAAGGGGGCACGCGGCAGAAAGAGAAAACTTGTGTTTTTTTAAAAGCTAAATACCCTTATATTTCTCATAATTTACATTTATTGCCATGCTACAAGACGAAATAGCCACAACTTTAAATTCTACCAGGTTGTTTGGTTTAATTTATTTTTTTTATTTTTTTAAGCTCTCACCCTTTTGCTTCTTTAATAACTCGAACTCGCAACCTTTGGGTTGGAAGTAAATGGTGCTTACCATCCGAACAACTCTCTCTCATCTTTGGTTTAAATTATTGTAAGGGAAAATGATCAAAAAAAATGTTCTTAAAATGTGTGAAAATAATGAAAATGTCCTTTGTTTATAATTTGGCTCAAAAATGTTCTTTTCGTCAATATTTTGATTTAAAAATATCCTTGTAATCAATATTTTGGTCCATAAATGCTCCTATAATTACTAAATGGATCAAAAATGTCATTTTCTGAATATGTATTATTTTTTTCCTTTTTAAACACATCTTCTTCCTAATTAAAATATTATTAAAAAACCACGTTCTTGTTTTCTTTCGTTTAAAATCACTTTAACAAATAAAAAATGTAAGAAATATTTTTTTCTTCTTAATCTCATTTTATCAATTAAAATAGAATAACTTCATATACCCTCTCGACGGATAATATATGTCATATATATAAGATCATGGTATATTCATCATTAATTTATATTATATAACGATAAAAAATAATTATAATATTTTATTTTTATTTTAGGATTTGAAAAACAATTAACTATCATTTACTATCATTTTTTTCTTAAGATAGTTAACACCATAAAGTCTCATGTTCTTCTAATTGAAAATTGACATGTCACATTAATTTTAATTTTTAATAATTAATCAAATAAAAAGTCCGTATTAGTATTTTATATGTTAAATTATTATTATTATTATTATTATTATTATTATTATTATTATTATTATTATTATTATTATTATTATTATTATTATTATTATTATTATTATTATTATTATTATTATTATTATTATTATTATTATTATTATTATTATTATTATTATTATTATTATTATTATTATTATTATTATTATTATTATTATTATTATTATTATTATTATTATTATTATTATTATTATTATTATTATTATTATTATTATTATTATTATTATTATTATTATTATTATTATTATTATTATTATTATTATTATTATTATTATTATTATTATTATTATTATTATTATTATTATTATTATTATTATTATTATTATTATTATTATTATTATTATTATTATTATTATTATTATTATTATTATTATTATTATTATTATTATTATTATTATTATTATTATTATTATTATTATTATTATTATTATTATTATTATTATTATTATTATTATTATTATTATTATTATTATTATTATTATTATTATTATTATTATTATTATTATTATTATTATTATTATTATTATTATTATTATTATTATTATTATTATTATTATTATTATTATTATTATTATTATTATTATTATTATTATTATTATTATTATTATTATTATTATTATTATTATTATTATTATTATTATTATTATTATTATTATTATTATTATTATTATTATTATTATTATTATTATTATTATTATTATTATTATTATTATTATTATTATTATTATTATTATTATTATTATTATTATTATTATTATTATTATTATTATTATTATTATTATTATTATTATTATTATTATTATTATTATTATTATTATTATTATTATTATTATTATTATTATTATTATTATTATTATTATTATAAAATAACAATCTTTTTAGGAGGGACTATAGAGTCATTCCCAAATTTGTAAAAGCAAAAAAATTAAACTATAACCACTACACTAATTGACCCATTATTCGTTTTGTTTTTTTTTTAAATACAAAAAACACCCAATTCATGCTCCTCCTATTTGTTTTATCATGTGAGTCTACTAACCCTAATCCATTCTTCATGTCTAATTTCATTTTAAAATACATTAATCGTCTATAGTTATTAAAATATCCAATGAAATATCACTTGAAATCTAAGACCTTTTCGTAGCCAAATTAAGACCAAGTTCCTTATGTAGCTATGTCAAAATTGGGAATGGTCTCTTTCAATATATGCATATTAAGGTGTCCTATATAATCAAATACCACCTGAAATAATCTTAATTATTATTCTAGGGATGCTTATCCGAATATACAAGCAATGGTAAATAATGGATATTATAAAAATATAATTCCAAGATGAATAATAATTTTTGGATTATAATTTAGGAGTCAGATGTATGTAATTAGAGAACACAAAGAAAAAAAGGTTTTAAAGATGTTATTCCAATAAAAAATTATTTTTATTTTTATAATCATGTGAAACTTGATATTCACTATTTATACCGTGTGGGGGGCTATAAAGGAGCAGATCATCTCTATGAAAGATTTTTTCATTTATTTTCAAAGAATCAAATTCTAAATTTGATTAAAAGTGAAAGTAATTCATTCATCAGGCCATAACAATTAATGGTCATGACCAGTGATATATTCACGTCCATTTTCTAATTAAAATACCTTCAGTCAACCATAAAAATTACTATCTTTGTCTCTAATTACTTGTCTACTTTTGAATTTGCACGCCTATTAAGAAATCAATAATTGACATAGTGAGTTTACAATTTTACTCCTATTAATTATGAAGTAGATGAATTAAAAACTTAATATTTTCAAGAAGTTCTACCTTTTTCAAAGTAATTAATTGAGGGTATAATAGGTAAAAAAAAATTGTTCTTTTTTTATTTGTCAAAATGGACAAGTAATTAGGGACGACTAAAAAAGGAAATGTGGACAAGTAATTAGGGACAGAGGAAGTAATTAGGTGGTCTGATGTATTATTTATTGCGCTATTATATTTAAATAAATATGCATCGTTATTCTAGGTGATTAAAAGATATCATACCCTGTTGATTGTAGTAGCTCTGACCATTTGAGATATTAATGAATTTGACAAAAAGAATTGAGCTTAATAAGCATGTCATAAGTAACATTTCACAATTTAATGAATCTTTCACTCATTTGATAGGCTAATTAAAGTATTATTATGGTTAAACTCTTCTAACTTCAATATATAATCTACATACTATCATTTATCAAGCTCTATTAAACAAATGCAATTTTCGTTCGATAATTAAAGCTGATCATATACCCTTATTTGAGATTATAGATTATTATTTTTAAATAGAGTGTTTTACTATGAATTTAACTTATATCCAACGATTCTATAAGTACTTTTTTATAAGTTGAAATAGAAACAATTTTTTAGGAATTAGTCCACCAAATAATTGATAAAAATGAATGTGAGTTTCAAGCATTGAACTTAATTTGAAAGGACTTAATACATCTATATAATCATTTGTTATTTAATTAATAATTATTATATTGTATCGATAGAAATTATTCAAAGACCTTGTCTAATGGCTACCATTCACTTTTATGAATGTCCTTGTCTGTTTTTCTTTTTTCCTTCAATGAATGAGTAATTTATTTGTTATTACAATATTAAGCCAAAATGTCAAATGATGATTTAGTCATTGGTTATTCAACAGCTAATATTTAAATTATCCTTAATCATAGACATCCAATCAATCAATTAGCGCTTAAAGGGGACGCTTGTATTTTAATATGTATAATTAATATCAAATTAAAAGCAGTTTAAGTTTCTTCGTTATTACAATAGAGGACATATTATATATTTTATATGGTTAATTTATCTATATAAATAATGCTTAAAAATAAATATAATTTTTTATATTTGAACCGAAAGTGTTCAATAGAAACACGTATTGTGCTTGGATACTCAATTAAAATAAATCATTATTCAAAAATATTTAAAATTTAATTTGTTAACTAATTACTGCTGTGATTTGTCTTGTTGATGAATGTTTGACTCATGTTTGGGTAGCTAAAATACACCGTTTTTCTTTACTATCGTGATAGTGATTGTGTCTAGGCCTAGAAATATAGAAATAATATATTTCTATTGTTCTCCCCGTTTTAATTTAATTGTTTTTTTTTTTGTTTTTTCTATTTGTTTTAAAAAAGATTTTTTTTGTGTGTGTTCAGTAAAATTTTTAATTTTAACATTGATATGATGAGTTTAAGATCACAAGATTTAAGAGATTATATATATTTTAAATTTAAAATTACAAAATTTATAAGTTTCTTTTTATTTCTTAAATTTCATGTTCAATCAAACTAAGACACTTAAATTCGATTAGAGAAAGTACTTTATCATTTTTTTATCGATACAACTACAAATTAGGTCAAAATTAAAGGCGAATTTAAAATTTAAACTTTGAGCGTTTTATCTTTAACATTCTTATCATTGATATATTTTCAAAATTATGGATTCAAACTTATTATAATTATTTATTAATATTTGTAGTATATTTTTGCAATGAAGTCTA